TATTTGAAAAGCCTTTGAAAAATAGATTTAATATTATGCGTCACATGTTAATATTCGTCAAATGTAAAAACAGTTATTTTTGAGCATTTTTCTGACATATTTTTTGATTTTTTTAAAAATCCTCCGTTGCACGGGACATGTAATAACTCTAAGGGCAAAATCATAGGAGGGGGGGGGATGTAAAACACCCCCTATACATATTAGACAAAAATAGTCCAATTGGGATAGGATAGGGTTAACATCATTTTGAAAATATGATTCTTGAAGAAAAACTGAGCTACACTTTGACCCTAAGAGGCATGAATTCACAAACTGTACAATTCTTGGTAATTTTGCGTATTTTTTATCTAAATCCTTAAAAATGATAAATATAAAGCACTGATGATTTTTGAAGAAATTTCTATATGAAGATTTTTGTTTCGGATCATTTTTATTTTTTTTTGGTGGATTTCCAAAATAAAAAATTTAAGTTTGGTCGGTCAGAAACTTTTCTTTGTAAGTTGTGAAATGTGGGTGCAGGTTTAAAATAATTTTGGACTGCTCGGTTAAGCCGTACATTTACATTTATTGGTTACAATAGACAAACCAAAAGTCAACTGACAGTCAAATATTCCTAGAAACTTCTAAAAAAATTTAATCTTTTAACTGTTTATTTTAAAGCTGCTTTTTTATCCTACTTCAAAAACAACATATTTTGCGGATTTTTGTGTGATTTTTGTGTGAAAGAAAAACTCAGACTTTTTTAGTCAACAATTTTAAATTTTTCAAACTATGACCGCGGACATTAATCTTTCTTTGGTCATTTAAGTTGCACACATTGGGGCTGACCAATCGGTTCAAACGTTTTAACATTTGACAAACTTAGAATGAAGCAAATCTGATCGATTTATAATCGATACCTTGATATCATCAACTTATATATGCTGCTTTTTGTTAAAATATATACACAAACGTCTGAAAGTGTAAGAATATGGGGGAAAGGGGTTTAGGCGGAGAATTAAAATGTAAAAACCAAATTCGATTTTCTGCTTGAATACCCTGCATCTAGGATTCCAGATATTATTCCAATGTTTAGACAATATATATTTTAGAATATAAATAATTAAATCAAATAATTTAAAAACTGTTTCCGATAATTAGAATTTTCAAACACCATCAACAGTTCTTTTTAACTCTGGAAACAGAAAGAATTTAGAACTTTAAAGAGTTTATATTTTGTTATTTATCAATGTGAATATGCCCTTTAAGTCCCAACCGTTAGTAAGAAGCTTAAAAGTTAAATATTTCAAAGTTTAGATATTTTCCAATATTCAGGTAAACTTTAGCCAGGTTTTATCAAGTTTTCTTCTAAGCCCTTCAAACTATGCCCGATGTGCACCCCTTTTCAGGTTTCCCCTTTTGGGACTCTAAACCTTCCTCCCCCCCCCCTAGTCTTTTTAAAACCTCCAAGTATTTTTGTGAATTAATAAGAATTTTTAACAAATTCGACATTCTTTTCTTCGCTTTTTAACCCCAATTAATAGGACGAGGTAACATTTTTGTGAACTAATTAGTAAAATTTTAAGCACACCTGATTTAAAAAAATAAATTTTAACTTCAAATTTGTCAGTCGAACCCTTTAAATTATTATTTATTGTAAGGAGAAGAGATATTGTGCATAGCTTGCCGCTTCTGTAACACCGGACTGTTCAGTTTCAAGGAAAACTAAGTATATAGAAACTTTAGAAAAAGACAAATTTTATTTAGAAATGCAAACTGTAAAACCTTTCTTCAACTTTCAATTCTTTTATAAAACTTGTGCACTTTGCAGTAATGAAACCACTCACTTTATGTGTATATTTGCTTTTTTTCTAGCCGTTTCGTTAAAAAAGAAAAATTTTAAAATTTTAAAGTTAAGAACCGATCAATTGTTTCGTTAATGGCATTACAGTTAATTAATGATCTTAATTTTATTAACGACGTTATAAACTGCAGAGCTGTTAACGTTCTATTGCAGTATTAACCGCTTAAAAAAAATTCGTTAACGGTTCATGAAATCTTGGTTGTGAACACAAAAGATTTGAAATATTAAAATACATGAATTTTTCAAAATTATTTAGATAAAAGTTTCGTGCAATTTAAAGCAGAAAAAACGAAACTAACCGTTTTAAAAAATCCGTTTCATTTTTATTTTCAACCGTTAATTTTTGTCTTCAAAAATGGCTAATCAGTTTTGTTAACGATTTAAAAATTAACGATTTTTGCCGTTAGTTTTTTGAAAACCTCCGTTTCGTTAATGAAACTTTGCCCAGTCCTAAAGAGAAGGAATGGCTGCAGGTCAGAATTTAAAAACTTTACGCTTTTAAAGATTCTTTTAAAGGGACTGTCATTGTAATTTCAAGGAAACCTTCAATTACAAGATTTGCATGCCTAATTTACAAGAGCATCTTTTAAATTGTTTTCCCATAAATAAGAAGAAAAATATCCTCGTTTTCTAACTGGTTTAATTCTGATAATTATAAACTTATATTGCAATCCCCAACCCCTGCCTAGGGCTGGGCACGTTCAAACTTTGTATAGCCATTTCGTTAACGGTTACTTCCTAACGTTAAAAAATAAAAATAAATCAGATTTTAAAGGTAAGAACGGCACATTCGTTCCGTTAACGGCATTTTCCGTTTTTTTTTATTATTGTTAGTTAACAATTTAAATTTTTAACAGTGTCAACAGAAAAAACTAAAAAGCCATGAAAAAATTTGTTAACTGTTCAAGAAATTGTTAACGGCGCAGCTGTTAACGGTTAATCACAGTACAAATGGTTTAAAAAATCGTTAATCGCCGAGAAAAAATTCGTGAACAGTTAAAGAAATCGCTAATGGCATAGCCGTTAATGGTTAATTACAGTATTATCGGTTTAAGAAATCGTTAACTGAGCAAAGCACCGAAAACAAATTTGTTAACTGTTTAAGAAATTGTTAACCACGCAGCCGTTAATGGTTTATTACAGTATTAACAGTTTAAAAAATTGTCAAGAGCATAGCCGTTAACGGTTTATTACAGTATTAACCGTTTCTGAAACAGATAACGGTCTTTTGCAGTATTAACGGCGTAAAACTCGAGGTTATATAAATTCCAAAATTGTTTTTACTAAACATATTTCTTAACTTATTTCATGCCTAATTATTCCCCTATGACTATGAGGCTTGATAGAAGAAAAGTAAATAAATAAAACATTTTTTAAAGTTTTAAAATGTGGAAAGTTTTTTAAAATATTTTAGAAAAGAACAAAGTTATTATACCTAGGTGCAAGTTATACTTTAAGTGCATGTTGCTCAAGACAAAGCATTGTGTTTATTTCCAACTTTGTTACCTGTAATTTTCACCATTAAAACAACACATCCAGGTTTAAAATTTGTCAAACGCCGTAAGTGCTTCTCTACATTCTCTACATTTTTCTTCTAACAGTCAATGCTCATGAAGATGACATCTAAATCTGAACCAGGAACTTTTACATGATATCACGAAACAAACAAAAAGGGTCTAAACAGAAAAACAATGCCAGACTTAACAATATTAATCTTTAATATAAAGCCAGATTTTGCTTGTTGACAAAAATATAAATAAAAAAACATTTTTTTATGGACAAGCTTTATAAGGATCTGTTTCCGTAGAAAAATTCTGCTTCCCTTATTTCCATAGACAAACTATATAAGGATGCAATATAGAACCAAATTAAATATTACAATTCAACTCTGTGACTGTGTACACTGTACAGTGTAAGTTTTATTTATATTTAGATCTTTAACATATCATGTTATTATAAACAGACTCGAATAAATTCACGAGTGATTAACCCAATTAGTAAATAATTAAAATAATAAGATATAGTTGTAATCAATTCAAAATTAGTGGGAAATTTTTGTAGATAGCCAAAATAATGTCGATAAAAGCAATCCTTTTTCGCCATTTCTTAATACAGAATATACATAAATTTTTTAAGAAAAAAGTTTAATCAGTTTTAAACAGAAAATAATTGAAGAATAATATTCACCGATTTTTAAAAATTAGTTAACGTTTTTAACCGTTATTTTTTTCAAAAACGACTAATCCATTTCGTAAACGATTTGAAAATTAACGGTTTTTGCCCTTCGTTAACGGACTCTTCTGTTAATTTTCAAAAACCTCCGTTCCGTTAACGGAACTTTGCCCAGCCCTACGCTAGCCCATATGTGAAATGTAAGATCCATTTCAAGAACTCTTCTGCACTTGCATGTTAGTGGAACAAGCGCTGCGAATATTTGAAAAGATTCTAGATTTTGGGAAATTGACCTTCCAGAACTACAGGGTGTCCCACGAAACATATAAGATAACTTTAAGTTGTCTTTGATTTGTGAATTTATTTGTGACCTTCCGTCGTCAGCCTTCTTTAAAATTTATGATTCTTGAAACAATAACCTTGAAATTATTCTTTTCCTGGCATTCTCAAAATGTGGTCTGCCTTTTTGTGCATGTCAATATTACCGGAGATATTGAGAGCTTCGTTCAATTTTCAATATTATTAAATAAAACCAAAATTATCGAAATCTGAACGAAATTCTTTGTATCTCCCGTAATATTAAAAGCTCAAAAAAGGCAAACAACATGCGAAGATTAGAGATATTTGGTGATTATTAACTCTAGAATTTTACTTCTATTATTAGGTTAACGAAAAAAAGTCTCAACTTATTTTAAAGACCTGACAACTGTTTCCTGACAATTTTGATTTTCTATTGCTTTTTGAATTTAAAATTGTTGACGCCCTGAAGAGGTTTGTGGTTTTGTGTTGAGCTAAAGTTTACGATTTCTATTACATTTTATATTTGAGAAACAAATAGAAAGTAATAAAGATTAAATCTTATGCTTCAACAATTTCCGTTACTTCATTCTGTACTCGTAAACATATCTTGCAGTCTTCGAACCTCAGTTCAACAGTTAGGGGGGGTGTTAAAGGGACTGTTAGGGGGTGTTAAAGAGACAGTTAGCCTAACTTCAAGTGACAATACCTGATTCACAACGGTAAAATATGTTGGACTTATTAGTATCAAACAACAAATCTTTCACATTTTTTTTAGAAAGAACAAAATTTTTCATGAACGATGTCGTCTCTCAGACGAACGATGGTCGAACGACTTGGATCTTTAAAGAAATGAAAAAACTATTGTTTTCAAAAGCGAATGAGAAAAATAAAAAAAATATGATGTAAAACCGTTCTAACGATGTTGACTGTTCATGAATAATGTTTCCGTTTGTTTGAACAAACTTGAAAAAACGAACGAATTCATTCAAACGATTTTTTCAAACAAAATTTTCAAATAAAATTTTTCGTTTTTTACCGGACGAAAAATATCATTGAACAAACGATTTTACCAAACCAGCAATTTTACTGATTTTAATTAACAATCGTTCAGTAAGAAACAGAACGAAAAAGATGGAAAATGAACATTGATTTATAGAACAAACAAATTCTTTTTTTTGAACGATTGAACGATTGAAAAAAATCTAACAAAATGGGTCGTTCACAAACGATGAAAAAAACAAAATGAAAAAAGTTTATCGATGAAGATTTTGGCGAGCAATTGCGAGCCCTTTATTTCCGCATAATTCCACAGAATACCGCGCAATTCCGCGCAATTCCTTTGTGAAACCCTAGTAGGAATAAGGTTAACTACAATTCTACAAGCATTAATTGTAGTAATAGCCAGAAATATTTAATATTTTTACACTTTTAGAAGGTTTCATGACTATCTGAGACGGGTCCAACGATTTCAAATTGTATTCTGTAGAAGTTTGCTTATGTCTAGCATGCAAAAATTGTTATCCTAAGTGAAAATATGGCACAAACTAAAAATTATCGTTTTATAAACCCAAAAACGACCATTTCAAACGATCTTCTTGGGTAACAAATTTGCATGTTTGATAAAGGAAACTTCTACAGAATAAAGTTTCAAAATGCTAGAACCTTCTCATATTGTCGTAAAACCTTTTAAACGTCAAAAACATTACTTTGTTTAATAAAGGTTGCAGATCCAGAATATTGAATATTGCAGTTTCTTTGGAAATTTGCAACAAACAATAAAGTTCCTTTGAATACACGTCGATCACTTGACTAACAAGGGGTACCGTTGAACATCGGACATCCCTTGAGGACTAACAAGGGGTACTGGAAATTCCCTTGAGAACTAACAAGGGGTACCGTTGAACATCGGACATTCCCTTGAGGACTAACAAGGGGTACCGTTGAACATTGTACATTCCCTTGAGGACTAACTAGGGGTACCGTTTAACATCGGACATTCCCTTGAGGACTAACAAGGGGTACCGTTGAACATCGGACATTTCCTTGAGGTCGCTTCATTATATAAAAAAATTACCGTTTTGAATCTGAATGTTGCATTTAGCTATGTTATTACAAAACAATACAAAATTGCAAAATAGCATTGTCATAAAATGACTTTGAACAATGTAATGATACAGTGATAACCAGAAAACTCTGAAAATAGTAAGACGACTTTTATAATCCAGTAATAATTTTAAAAAGTCGAATGAGCATGAAACACGGCATTTTTCAGTCTAAACAGACCTATTTCACTAAATTAGTGATTCTATAAGTGTCTAGTAAAACTGTTTGCTTTGGAACAGCAATAAATGCACTTACTTATTGTTATAATGTCGTCTTAGGATTCCATTTTTTTCTTGTTATCACTGTACTATTTTTTACCTCCCGCTCTCCTCCTTCTGCATTAATATTTGTTGAGAAATAAATTTAAGTTTAATTTTCGCTATTCTGTTTCCGCCTTTAGTCTAGAGAATTTATTACTATAGAAATAGGGCCCTAAGGACTATAAATAAATTTAGTTGTATATAAATTAATTGATAGTGTCATAAGTCAAAGCAGTTTCCCATTAGGTCCCTCCCTTTATTATTCTTTTAAAGGATAACCCTGTATGTAGTTCAGATGTTTTTACAGTCTCATTATTTCTGAATAACCCTGGATGTAGTTCAGATATTTACAGTCTCATAATTTCTGAATAACCCTGTATGTAGTTCAGATGTTTTTACAGTCTCATCATTTCTGGATAACCATGTATGTAGTTCAGATGTTTTTACAGTCTCATCATTTCTGGATAACTCTGTATGTAGTTTAGATGTTTTTACAGTCTCAAAATTTATGAATAACCCTGTATGTAGTTTAGATGTTTTTACAGTCTCATCATTTCTGGATAACCTTGTATGTAGTTCAGATGCTTTTATAGTCTTATCATTTCTGAATAACCCTGTATGTAGTTCAGATGTTTTTACAGTCTTATCATTTCTGGATAACCCTGCATGTAGTTCAGATATTTTACAGTCTCATAATTTCTGAATAACCCTGGATGTAGTTCAGATGTTTTTACAGTCTCATCATTTCTGAATAACTCTGTATGTAGTTTAGATATTTTTACAGTATTATCATTTCTGAATAACTCTGTATGTAGTTCAGATATTTGTACAGTCTCATAATTTCTGAATAACCCTGTAAGTAGTTCAGATGCAAAAATACACACTTTATAATTAACAGAAGAACAGTTTTCTGGTTCTCACTGTATACTATACATGTAACAGAGATCAATGATCAAATGTTTTATAATAAATGTTTCTCTTTTGTCACATAAAACGGGATAATATTGGAAGTGTGCCATGTTTAGAATCATAAAAGGAAAATGTTTTCTTTGATATTTTCAGCTATTTAACAATTTGACGCCTTCAAATATAACCAGCCAAAACCACACGTTTAGATGAGAAAGTTCGTACAACCCATTTTCCTGTGTAATAATTAAAAATTGCTTTCTTTTCATTTTCGTAAATATCGAAAATCCACCAAAAATGTCGATACTTTTTAATCAATTCTGACATGTTGACGAAACTTTGGAAAATTTCTCTCTCCGATCAACAAATTTTTCTAAGTCACGATATTTTCCTAAACTTTTAATTTATAATTATTCTTAAATTTTATAACAGGCAAAAACTTATAGAGAATAATAAACTTTTTAGAAACGTTTTGTTTAACCATTAAATGTATAAAGTTTTTTTATGAATAATCCATGCACTTCATCAAATTTGATAAAATTATGTATTTTAAATGACCGGGTTTTAAAGGTATTACTGATCACTCGGTTTATACTTTCGGACGCATATTCATGATTGGGTGAGAAATGAATAAATATATGACACGACAAATGTTTAATAGAAAAGTAAGATTTTTTTTCATCTATGTGTCTAACAAATGATATTGATTAAGCCAAATGACTTGAATACTTGACTAAAATTATAATTTTTGAGTTATCACAAAAAAACGTTAGGGTGGTCACATCGACACTCCCCCCCGTCCAAATAGGGTTATCGCTACTTAAATTTACTAGCGAATAGGTTTTCAAACATGTGTAATTTGTAAAAAAAGTATTTTTCCGACACATTTTATGCAATTTTTCAGAGCGCTCTAGAATCCAAACCATTGAAATTTGAGGTTTTTTCATAAATTATGTGGCAATGAAAAAATTGGGCTATCAAAATTGCATTAAATCTACAAACGTTCACTCATAATGTCATTTTCTAGAGGGGGTGGGGCGTTACTTACCCCCCCCCTTTTATGTTTATGGTTAAAATAATTTCCTGCTAAATCTTAAAATCCCAACTTGTTGAAGATTAACTAAATATGAGATTTTTTAGTTAAATTTTTTTTCTCCATCAAATTGGTAAATTGATACTTTTACTTTACAAATCCTTTTTTTTCTGATCCGTTTTCGGTGGAAAAGCTAAGTATAATTCTTCAGAAAATTCAACAAAAACGCGCAGATTGTCAAAATTTCTGGAATGTATAGAACTTAGGAAATTAGGATGGATTTCAAGAATTCTTAGAAAATTCCGTTTTAGGGTTGGACAAATTTGAAAAAGTATTTTTTTTTTAAAGTAACAATCTTCCATGTTTCCCTATACATATTTACACTTAGTTTATGATATCAGTAAATTGCCGCCAAACTATGCTCCGAACCCCCTCCCCCCCCCCCCCCC